GCTCAGCGGTTAAGAGCACAAGCTGCTCTTGCAGAAGACCTGGGTTCAGTTCCCAGCATCCACATAGCAGCTAACAACCATCCATAACTCTAGTTCCAGATGATTCACCCTCTTCTGACCTCCCTCCTCAGGCACTGCACAACACAAGTGCACCTACCTACATGCAGGCAATACACTCATACACATAAAATAAAAATAATAAAATAAAATAAATGTATTACACACATCCGCCTGGTGCAACAGTCATGTTTCCAAGTCTTTTCAAATAGGTATGGAGCACAATCAGGAAAGGGTCAGAGAGCAGGATGCATCATGGACCCACACATGGCAGGAGGGTCCAGCTGAGCTGCCTAGGGCTAGGGACTGGCTGTGGGCACTGCCTGACACAGCGTCCTTGAGAAGTCAAGGCAGCCCTGGAATGCCAGCTCAGTCAAGACACTATAGTAGCCCATAGGGAAGGGAAAAGGAAAAGGGGTAGGAAGCTGCTGACCCTTCCAAGGCCAAGTGTGGCAAGGCTTGTTGTCTATGTGCCCCTGAGAGACAGGGCAAGTTGTCACTCCCTCTTGCTCTTGACATGAAAAGGAGAAAGCATCAACAGGGTCTCCTGAACACAGGCCTGACTGACATGGGCAATATAGAGAAAGAGCCAAGGGGAAGTGTGGGAGTCCAGGGTGTGCCCTGCTGCCCATTCCCCAGGCTACAACCAAGTCTAGCACTGACTGAGTTCTACCAGCTAGAGACTGTCCCAGAAGACTATACGCTGAGGCCAGTTCCACACCTCCCAAGTTTCCCTTTTTGTTGAACGACAAAGCTAAGGGATCTGCAGAAAGACCCAGCCACCTCAGTTCTTTGCTCCCTTCTTGCTCTTCTGAGGAGGCCCAGGGTACAAAAACAGCCCCCAGCTATAGCTTGGGAATTAGAGAAGAAAGAGATCCTAGAGTCTGGCAAGTTGTGGCCCTCTGTGTAGAGAAGCCTTGTGTCATAGAGCCTATGAATACATCATCCAGAGGCCCAGGCCCTGTCTATTCACTTCCCAATAAAAAGCAGCCATAATCCCAACAATAAAACAATAATGGATGCCATTTGTTTGAGAAACACTATCTCAGATCTTCACCACCACCCTGCAGGGAAGAGGTGCTAACTCCCACTTCACAGAAGGAGAGACTGGGAGTCAGAGAGGTCATGCCATTTGCCCAAGTAATGAAGCAACAGATCAAGACTGAATCCCAGGCCTATCACAACTGAGGCCCTACTTTCTGCAATCCTAGAACCTGATGCCCAGACACTAGATAAAGGCTGTCTGCATCCACGTAGGTAGGACTCTCATGCTCATTTTGCCAGAAGAAACTGAGGCCTCACTTCTGAGAGCTGGGCCATGCCCAAGGGACTGAAACTCATACAGAGTAGAGAGAATGCACCAGATGCAATTAGTCCAATGTCACATTGCAAAAGGGGCAGAGTGAGGATCTGACCCCAAGCAGTTCAACTCTGGCTTCTCAGAGCTGAGACAGAGTCCACCCAGCCAACCTGGCTGACCCTGCAAGGCCTCTGCTCCTTCCTCAAGTCCTGTCCCCTGAGCCAGGGGCAGTCAACAGCAGCTGTCACCTACTCCCATGCACTGAGCAAGAGGAAACAGAGCAGTTGCCTAAGAGAGGAAGTTCTTGAGTAGGACAGGAGGGCCTCCCCAGGAGCCCAGCCCAGCCCAAGGTCCAGGACAGATCACCTATGGTGTCTAGCTCAGGCCAGGATTTGCCTTCAGGGCCAGGGATGAAGCCCAGTCTTGCAGCCTGCCAGCCATTGCCCCTTTAAGTTGCAAGCAGTGGCTGGCATGCCTGTAGTGAGTCAGCATCCAGTGCCTGCTGACTCACCCACCGGAAGCCTTGCTGCCTCTCCCTACACAGGCTGACTGGGAACTTTGCTGCCTTCAGGCCCTGAGCCACAGGCTGGCTGATAGAGAGTTTCCTGTGCGTCACACCAGGGCTGGGGGAAGTCCCCAAGGTGCCACCCTCTGGTCTTTCCGACAGTCAGGACAAGAGGGGGGGCGCTATAACCACAGCAGGCAGGACCAGAACAGGACAGTCAGTCCTCCTGTAGCCTCACTGGGCAGCCAGAGGCAACAGCCAACATTGTATGAAGAATCACAATGAGAACCCCAATAATGACACTCTCAAGAGAGGAGCAGAAGCCATCCTTGATTAGTAACAGGATATGTACAGTGCTCCCCAGAGGCAAATGTGGCATGCAGACCGAGAACTCACTGACCATATGTGCCCCTACACCAGCTGCCCTTGACCTCTGACCCCAGATGGCCACCCACTAGTGACCAAGGAGGTGGGAGAGGCCAGCAAGGGCGTGGGACTCACAGGCCTCACAAATTTGGAGAGAACTCCCCAGGCCTGGGCACAGAGGACAGGCTGCCAGCTGTCTGGCTAGAAGCTTAGAGGTAAAGTTTTTGGCCCTACCAAAGGTAAGGAGCCACCACTCCCTGCTCTTCAAAGTCCTCTGCAAATAGACTGGTGAGATGGCTCAGCAAGTAAGGGTGCTGGCCACCAAGATGACAACCTAAGTACTATACCTGGAACCCACATGGTGGAAAATTGATCTGCATAGTTGAAGGAGAGAACTGACTCCCACAAGTTGTCCTCTGACCTTCAGAGAGGCCTTCACATGTATACTGTGGCATGCACGTGCCCACACACAAATAAATGTGATTAAAAATATCAAAGTCCTCTGCAAAGGTAGAGAAGAGTTCCCACCAGGCTCCATATCCAGGATGGGAGGCCTCCACTGTGCATCTGTTGTGGGGCCATACTGTGGGATATAGCCACTGGAAGGATGACATGCACAACAGGCTGTGCCTCTGCCTCAATAGTCCTCCAGGTCCATAATGGCATAGAGGAACTGCCCATTGGACATGGGGGTGATGGCCAGGATGCTGGTGTCCCATAGCTCCCCCAAGCACCTCATACAGGAATGAAATGGAGAAAGTACTAGGGAGATTCCTGTGCAGTCCTGGTATAGCCACGCTCTGTCCATTACAGCTGTGCAGCTTCTGTAAGCACTTAGTGCCCCTAAGCCTCTGTTTCCTTATTTGCAAGTGGGACAATGAGAAATAAAGACAGCATATGGCACACAGCAAAAACTTGGTAAGTGGTGCCTCTTAGGAGTTCTAGTGAAGAGACACTGTACCTCTTCCACCATAGCTATCTCCAGACCCCCAAAAGGCTATAGGAATCCTAGCCTAGGGTCTGACCTCTACCCAATATCATGTTATGTGACCCACAGTCCAGAAAGTAATACTGGCCCTCTTAGCAAAGGCCTGGAGAGTCCAGCAACAGGCCTTAAGTCAACCAGCACATGGGGGTCAACTGGATCCACACACAGTGCTTTGCTATCACACCCCCACCATCTATCCCCCTGGTAATCTGAAACTGCAACTTTTAGTTTGATGAAGCATCTCTTGCCTGGAAGAGCTGAAATGCCTCCAAAGCAAACACTGCTTCCAGCCCCTTCCTGAGTGGAACAGCATCTAATTTCCTGGTTCTCAAGCTCCATGAGGTCTGCAGTGCAAGTCTCTCCCCAGCCACCTCCCCCAACAAGTGCCTCCCTAGTTACTCACAGAAATTGGGCAATGGTCAGGGATCTGGCCTCCCACTTATGTAAGATGCAATTAACCAGCCCACCAGGCTCCAGTACAACTAGGGAAGACAGCTGCAGGGGGCCAGAAAAGCCCCTGTCTGCCAAGGACCAGGGCTCTGAAGACCAGTTCCCTAAGTTGGAAGGAGAGAAGGCCACCTCTGCCCAAGGGCCCCCCAAGTACCTGCCACTCCTGTCCTGTGTCCTCTGCAGCTACAATCCAAGGCTGGACCCTGACCCCACAGGAAAAGCTGGTCTCAGTCAGGGTGTGCAGCAACTGCCCACCCCCAGCATGCCTGCTACATGCAGGTGCTATGCTGAGCTCCTGATCACCTCACCCATAGTTGCTTCAAAACCCCTCCACATTCAGTCTCACATCACATCAAGAGTCTCACTCTTGAACTCCACTTCACTGATAAGGAAACTAAGGCCTAGATATTCTAAGAGACTGGCCAGGTGAGGCATTGGCAGGTTCAGTGTTAGTCCATTCATTGCTGTTATGCCCAGTTTGGCATGCTGTCTCCTGCAGCCCAAACTACTGAGTCTCTGACATGTCAAAAACGTCCTTTTCTCTTCCTAAAAACAAAAAACACCCTTTTGCCCTCCAGTCTTGTCCCCCTCACTCCAAGTGACAAATGCTGCAGCTGACCCAGCCACCACTGCCACCTCACAGAAATTTCCAGGAAAGCCAATTACTTGAAGTAGACACAACCAAGCCCCTTGGACAGCCCAGCTGAGCTAGCCTAGCTCCCAGGCTGGTCTGCGGACTGGCCCTGTAGATTCTAGGTGCAGGAGGGAGTCAGCTCCTTTAAGTGTGCAGGGAGACTGCCACTGAATCTAGGAGCCGCAGGCACAGGGGGCTGAGCTACAGAGTGAAGATGCCAGTAAGTTCTAATGAGCCAGCCCCAGGTGGAGTGCGGGGGGCAGCCAGAACTGGGCAAGGTAGGACCCACAAAAGGATGGAGGGAGTAGCTGGGAGAGGAGTGAAGTTCTGAATCGGGCAGTAGGCAGGTCCCCGGCACTGGGAACACAATGTTGGCGCCCAGGAGTGTAAGCATTAAATTCCAGCCTGGATACATCCCAAGGGACTGGCCTGAAAGGGCTGGGGCAGCCCAAGGTCCCAGACAGGGATCAAAGGAAATCCCATCTGGGTCCAGCATAGTCCGCTTCAAGGCGAGGCTCCAAACTTGGAGCGGGGTGAGCAGAGCGAGGTCCTGGTGCAGTCCCAAAGCCTAAGACAGGGATCCCAGTGAGGTCCTGGGCCGGCGTGCTGCTGCCCGAAGCTGGCCCAGAAAGGAGTCCAGGTCTCGGCCCCGCTCGGACTGGGTGCGGGTCAGGCCGCGCGGCCCGGTGGGCACTATTACCTTTGGTCGGAGGCAAGCCGGCGGGAGGGCTCGCGGCGGGCGACTCCATGTTGCGAACGATCGCAGAGGCCAGCTCTAATCCAGACGACCCGAGGCGACAGCACCGGCGCCGAGCGCGCTCATGGCTGCGGGCGGCGAGCAGCCGCGGGCGGCGGAGACTCGAGGGCCGGGAGCTTACGAGGCGGGGGGTGCCACAGTCACTCCGAGGCCCCGCCCCTCGCACTGATTGGCCTTCTCGCCCGCCTCCGTCCCAACCTCTACCTATCAGACGCCGGCCGAGCTGCGGGTCACGATCAAGCCCCTCCCCCCAGGAGCCGGAATCGACCCCGCCCTCCGGCCCCAGTAGGCGCCCGGTACAGACAGGCTCCGCCTTCCTTGGCTAGGGCCGCCCCTCTTTGCCAGTCAAGACGACAACCCCGCCCACTCGAGGCTGGGACTGAGCTGGCGTGATACCTGTGGCCCTCCCGAGTGCGTAATTTGGAAAATCCCGGAGATCCCCACGGTGGCGGGCCCGGCGGATGCGGCGGCGGGGTCGGAAGTGCGCCCGGAGTGAGTCTGGGTTCAGATGTGGCAGCGCTGCCCTGGGGTGACCTTGAGCAGGTCGCCTACTCTGTCTGCCCCTCCGTGCGACCGCAGTCCTGCCACCTAGGGCGGCAGGGAAAGCGTGAGCTGGCGTTGGCACACGCCAGGTGAGTGTTTGCTAACCGACTGTCGGAAATAACTTATTGCACCTTGCCCAGGGCTCACGTGGTCATGTATGTGCAGGAGCAACATCCATGAGCATCTGGCACCTTTCCAGCGCGGGGATTCAGTGGCTAACCTGGTAGTGCGTAGTCCTAAAGCGCAAGTAACGAGTAACTTTATTATTTTTATTTTTATGTGTATGAGTATTTTGTCTGCATATATGTGTGCACGTGCAATGCTCGCGGAGGCCAGAAGAGCGCGTCGGATCCCCTGGAACTGGAGTTACAGGCAGTTGTTAGCCACCATGTGGGTGCTGGGAACCAAACCTGAGTCCTCTGCAAGAGCAACTGGTGCTCTTAACCACAGAGCCCTCTCTCCAGTCCCTTGCAAGTAACTTTCTTGGTTGTAACATTGTAGCACATTCTACTCCATGTATTTCGGGGGAATCTCAAGGAATAAGATGTCATTCCAAGCACTGAATTGCCTTTGGGCACCCTTGACTGGGGTTCCATCTCAGCTGCCCTGAACCACTATCCTCACCTCTATTCTCACCCTAACCTTGAGCCTGTGAGAATTTCAGGAGCTACCAACAGAGCTGGAGTCAATGATTGTCAGCTCTAATTGAAGGCAAGAAGTACTAAGTTGAGGGGTCAGCCCCTGGCATCTAGAAACCATGAGTAAGTGCTGTCAGGGACCTCACATGAGTGCAGCATATCACAGCACCTACCAGGTTTGCTCAGAGCAGGGCTGATCTCTGCATGCCTGTGAGTACAGTGCAAGGCCTCCCACACAGCACAGGGAGGGTCAGCTGGGATTGGAGGGAAACATCTTGTAATTATTATTCTTTTCCTGCATCTCTCAACCTGTCCAGGAGGTGTCACAGAAAACTGAAAGTCTTAGACTAAGACAGGTACAGGTTTGAGTGCCACGTATATCACTCACTAACTCGGAGACCCTGGAAATGTCACTGAACACCTTTCAGCCTCTACTTACCTATCCCACTGGAGAATGAGATCTCTAGGAACATTTCACCAGCTGAAGCTTTGAAGTGCCCAACATGGGGCTTGATTTTCACTAGCTGTTCAGGAAATGTACTCAAAAATGCACTGTAGAACACCTCTGCCTGGAAGCCATTCCAGCTGTATCACCCTCGAATGTACAGAGCATGCTAGGACCTGAGCTTACTTACCCATGTGTAAAATAGGCACCCAACAGCAACAATCTCCCTCCTGCCCCCTGGTATATTGAAGGGTGTTTGTGCTGCCCCTTGAATTTACCAATGTTGGTCCTGCTTTAGGGCCTTTGTCCTAGAATATCTCTCTGGCCACTGCCAGCCCATGTTTCCTAGGGTTAGTTCCCTTAGACTCTTAGACCTCCTCCTAAATGAATGCCTCAAGAGGCCTTCCCAGTCCTGGAGCCTAAAGGAGTCTTAGGTCTCTGGCACTACTCAGGCACACTTAGTTTCTGTTGCAGCCCTCTTCCCATACCACCCGCCTTCCCCAGCAGGAACCTTGCCCATCTCATCCCCTGCTGCACCCCAGCTTAACCCAGGGTCAAACACATAGTAGGTGTCTAATAACTATTCAAGGAATGAACAAAGGAAGTAGGAAAGCATGCCACAGATATGGGTAAAGTGACTATAGTCCCGTGCCAGCCTCCCAGGCAGCAGAGTGACTCAGATGTGGTCCCCAAACAGGAGAACTTTTAATGGGTTAGTCAGAGAGCCTGATGAACAGCCCAGGAGTCACAAACTCCATGTGGGTGCTATTAATAGATGTAAAAACCTCAAGAAGAGGCCCTACTCCACCTGGGTGGGGTCAGGGAAGGTGACCTTCATGGACTAGTAGGAACTTGCCAGGCAGAGACGGAAGAGACCATCCTTGGAAGAAACAGAGGCCAACCCAGCTTGTGGAGAGCTACTCATAAAGCCAGGCTGGGCTACCTGGCCTAAGTTAAATGATAGGATGTCTCAGGTTGACAAATGCATGATGCCCTGCCACCTGCAGAGCCTCCAGGACTTGCTGACCCAAGGTGACCAGACCCAGCTTGCCAGTGCTCTGGGGTGCCCTGTGCAAAATAGACCACCCTCTGTGCTCTGGCTGCTGTCCAGTTTCCTCACCTCTGTGCTACTTGCTGTAGGCCTTCCTCAGTGCTGCAGAAAGACCCTTCTAGAAACAAGGCTGGCCAAGCTGCAAACCCTCCCTGACTCCCTAGGGAATTTCTAACCCTCTGGCCTTGCCTACATCTCCAGACTCTTCCAAACTAAGCTTTCCTTCTTGAGCCTGTCTTTGCAAAGGCTATTCCCTCAACCAGGAATGCCCTTCCCCACCTTCATCTGATGTATTCCCACCCTTCTCCTCCCCCCTGCTAAGTATGTTTTTTTTTTACATGCTGTATTTAAATGACCACCATTTCAGATATTGAAAGATGATTCATACAAGTGGCATGGTTCCACTTGCACAATAAGAAGTGCCATTTTTATGGCCTTACTGTGTGCTTGTCCCTCAAGGCACATCCTCACATGGAATGCCTATGAGGCAACCTGTGCTGTGTTTGGCTGCCAGCATCCCTGGTGCACCGTAGACACTCAGTGAACACTCAGAGCCCACAGCTCCCTGGCGAGAGCTGCAGAAGAGAACAGAAAGCCAAGAGAAGGGGTCTGCACACATGTAAGGCCACTGGGACAGCAAAACTATTATTCAAGTTCCATTCTGGCAGATGGTGACACTTTCCCCTGCCTTTCCTGCCCACACTTCCATTAAAACAGTTCAAATACTCTTCTGAGCCAAATAGCCTGCTCTGAATACTTCCACTGCTTTCTGACTCTTTACTCCTGACTGAGCCCCTGGGATCTGGCCTTCCCAGGTCCCTACAGGGTGGTATAGAGCCATATGGCCACATCAGGCACCTGTCCAGGCTTCCTAGCAATGCTGACATAGTATGCATCTATCTTGAAAGCCCTCAGACATGGCCCTCTCTGCCTAGGAGGTGGAAGACAAGCATTCATTGTCACCTATTATATGCCAGTTCACACCCTGATAAGGCTGGCATAGTTAAACCTTCATTTTACAGATGAGGAAAGTAAGACTCAGGCACTTGCCCAGGTCTCACAGCCAGGAGGGAGGAAGCCTGATCATAACCCAAATGACTAATGGTGGCTGAAAGTACCCTGTAGGGGGCTTTTTACCAGAGAGCTTGTTCTGGCATCTGGAATCCAAATCTACAGGGATGTTCTTATTGCCACAATGCAATGAGAAGAGCTACAGAGGCCAGTGGTGCCCCTGGTCAGGTAGCCAGAAGAAGAGAGAGAAGAAGCACACTTTCACTGGGCTGACTCCACAACATGGTCAGTCCCAGGGTCCTTCTGCATAGGGCTGCCCTCTAACCGGAGCCACAAACCAGCTGAATGACCTTGAGCCCATCATTTATCTCTGTCAGACCTCTGAGGCATCCCCACCTCTGTTTTGGGAAATAGGGTCTCATGATGTAGGCCAGGCTAGCCTTGACCTCCTGAGCCTCCTGCTTCAGCCTCCTTAGTGCTTGGATGACAGGCTTTCCCATCCACTACCATCCTTGCTTCTGTCCCCTCTCAATCACCCCCAATCTGCCTGACCCTTTTTACAACTAAGCTGCTACAGGGAAGCTGTGGCACCAGTCAGAGCCACTCCAGAGGCTAGAACACTCAACAGGGCAGCAGGTAGGGCCACTGCCACCACCACAGGGCCATCACAGGACTGCCACTGCTGCCTCAGCTGTGACGCAGTCAGCTGCCTTGTTGCTTTCACAGCTTGATCTGCCACCTGCTCATCTGCCACGGCCTCTCCTTGTTCTGCAGTCTCTGCTGTGACCACCACCTTCTACTGTTAACTGCTGCTTATTACATGTTACCAGCTCAGCTCACACTTCTGGAAGCAAAAAGGAAAAGATCACTTGAGAGAAACCTTTAATTAGGCTCTGTGTTGTAACACCTGGAAAGGTGGTACAGGAGACCACCTTACAGCCTGCCTGGATGGCCCATGAAAGGGTCTTTGGACCTATCAGGGCCATTTGTTTGGATCAAATCACTCACTGTTTTTCCTCTTAGCACCAGTCGCAGCAGTCTTTTTGCTGGACCACAAGGAGAATTGCTACCCCCTCTGACCAGAGTGGAAATGACTACAGGGTCATCTAGAGCTGGACAAGGCTTATGATAGCGAAGAGTGAGGTTGTAGCTCAGTTAGTAGCGTGCTTGCCTAGCATGCACAAGGTCCTAGGTTTGATTCTAGCACCACATAAACCCTATGTGCTGGCACATGCCTGTAATCACAGTGCTTGGAAGGTGGAGACAGGAGAATCAGAAACTCAAGATCATCCTCAGCTGTGCAGGAGCTTAAAGCCAGCCTGAACTAGAGACCCTCTTTCAAAGAGTCTGGTACAAATTATTTTAAGTAGCCCTGACTGGGACCACACCTTCAGGAGCCAAAGCAATCAGTTATGATCTTTACATAGTTGTCTGAGGTATATTCAGGATAGCTGA